CCTTTCATAGTATTTTTACTCAATTTGTGCAAAAACACCCTCAATTAATATAATGCCCATTTTACCCTTTTACTCTTCCAAAAATGCCCCTACCATTTTTGTTGAATCTCAAATGTTGCAGAGACTCCTTCAATTCTTGTTGCAGGAAGCGGCGACAATAGCAGATGGAGTGATGGTGGCGGTGGTGGCGACAATAGCAGGTGACTGTGAGATCCAGCTATGGTTGTTTAAACGAAGTAAATCTCCCCAATTTGAGTTTGCCTTGTTTGAATAGAACATAAAATCAAAGGAATCAGTTACAGATTTCGATTCTTCACGGCGTACCCAGAAAAGCTGCAAGACCCATTCGCAAACCCCACATCACCATAGTCTGCCACCGCCGTTCGCCTGCCTCACCATCACCAAAACCCAAGCAACCCCACCGGCGAGGATGAAGACGGCGGTTCGCGAGCAAGGGGGAATCTCGGCGGGTAGTGGCGATGGCAGTGAATAGCGATTCCGGCGATGGGCTTTGGAGAGGACTGGTTCAGCTGTGAGCTTGAGACGCCTCCGTTTTTATCTCCCTCCCCGGTGACGCCTCCGTCTATATATATATATATGTATATATATATATAATTTGTAAATTTAAAATAAATAAATAAATATATCTGTATATTTATGTCTATGTGTATGTGTATCCGAAAATATCTTTCCCACATTAAGTGTCAGGCTCCGAACCGCTTGGTTCCAGTGACTTTGTGAGTTTCTCTCCAAAACAGGAAAAATTATTGGCAGTATCACTTGATTGTTCCACAGAAACAAAGCACACTCAACTACGTGCCAGATAAAACCAAATACATTAGGGAGAACAAAGAACACATAATCCTTCCTAGTTTCTTGCTAGTTCAATCCTTGTCAGCTTAGTGTGAAACGATTAGACAAAAGGGAGAACAAAGAACACATAATCCTTACTAGTTTCTTGCTAGTTCAATCCTTGTCAGCTTAGTGTGAAACGATTAGACAAACGATAAACCAAAGGGAAAATATATTATGTCCAACTTTACTACTATATCTGTGTGTGTATATATATATATATATATATATATATATATATATATCTTCTCCAGTCTTTCCTTCCCTCCACTACCACCAAGATGATGAAGAAGAAGGGCCAAGCTCTTTTTAGTCATTTCACATTTTTAATTTTTTATATATATTATCAAATGTGTTGCTAAAGCATTTTAGTTTAATTTTTATAAATAGAACTTATTTGTACCAATATCATTTATATATATTATCAAATGTGTTGCTAAAGCATTTTAGTTTAATTTTTATAAATAGAACTTATTTGTACCAATATCATAGTTTATGAGTGTTTTTGGTACAAGAAGGGTGCAATATGTACTGTATGCATGTTATAGGGGGTGTTTGCTTTTAGATAAGAGAAATTATAACGACTTTCCAATGTGGTTAGGCCACGTCACACCCAAAATTAACGCTGTCTTCCTACCCAAAAAAAACACACTCTAAAGAAGCCATGAACACAGAGCTTTGATGCCTTTTTCTTTTTATATTGAGAAATGACAGAACTTTTGACGACTTTTCAACGTGGTTAGGCCACGTCACATCCAAAATTAACGCTGGCTTACAACCCAGAACAACACGCTCTAAAGAAGCCGTTAACACAGAGCTTTGATGCCTTTTTATTTTTTATTTTTTATATTGAGTAGGGAATGGTGAAAAGGTCAGGAGTTGAGCAGGTGAAAAGGGCCCAAATATAGAAAGCAGTGGAAGCTTTTTTTGATACGGTATTTGCAGTTTGTGAGGATCAAAAATGCAATAGAGAGCCAAATGAACACCTTTATGCAGAAATAGAAACGGGCTTTAAAGGTCAAGTTTTCGGTGGCAATATTGGCACTGGGTCCGGTATGGTTATCGGCGTCGGCGTCTGTCCTTCCTGCGGCGGCGACGCTGAACATTGCGGAGGCAATGAAGGTCAAGCAGCCGGCAGCTCTGTGAGCTGCTTGGGCGTTATTGTTGCGGGATTTGTCGCAGTGGCGACCCGGCGTTGAGTCCCCATGACCGTAGAGGAGGAAGTCGTCATCGACGGGGCCTTGGAGCTCGACCATGGACCAGTTGTTGGGGTTTTCGATCTTGACGATCACCGGCGTTCCTTGGTGTGGCTCTTTGGTCCACCAATCGAACGACGGTGCCATTTTGGGTTCCCAAAGACCCATTTTGCGAAATCAATGTCGGAAAGACTACAAGCTCGTTTTCTGGAGCGACAAAGGAAGAAGAAAAGGAAGGGAGAGAAAGGAGATAGGACAGAGCGACGAAGGAAGAAGAAGAGGAAGAGAGAAGATATCCGCACGAGAGAGAGAGAAAAAAAAATCCGCACGAGAGAAGGAGATCAAATTAACCCAGTTTTATTTTTTTCTTAGCATATGCATAAATAGGTTGGAAATTCTATCATTTTTCTTTAGATAAATTAATTTCACAATGGTTCGCAATGTTTTGTATTACTATCTTGACAGCATACCAGTTTTATTTTAAAACCTATCCTTGTGTGAAATGAGTAATAGCTTAGACAATTTTTTTTTTTTTTTAAATAACCCGACAATCTCCCAATGATCAATAACCTGACAATTTTTATTTTGGAATAATTACATAAACCTCCTTTAAAATTTCGTCAATTTACACTGACTTCTCATTTTATTTATCAAATAACAATAATCTCCTCTAATAGAGCTTTTGAATTGACGACGGTTATAATGAAATTACTTTTCTACCTTTTTATATCAATATTGTATTTTATTAAAACACAATGTAATTTGAAAAGACAAAAATGCCCAAAAACCCCCTTGTGAATCTTTGCTTGCCATTCAGTCACCATTCAGTCACCGTCGAATCTCCATCACCGAGAACCCTCACTTGGCCGCTTCTAAGCCTATCGCTTCTTCATCAGTAATTCCTTGCTCACTGGGCAGCTGGCAGCCAATTCTTTTCCACTTTCATCGCCGTCGTTAAGCTCTTTCCACCGACTCACTACTACACTCCGTCGTTCTCGTTGAGCTGCTCCATCTGTTGCCGTCATACCCATGCCATCATCTTCACCGTCGCCGGCCCCATCAACTAGTAGCCATCGCCAAGCACAAAGCTTGTTCTTACACAACACACGTGAAAGGGCAAAATTTTAGAAAGAGACAAATGACCCTAACTCATCACTTTGACCTTCACTTCCTCAAACAGAGGCCTTACTTCCGAAACAAAGTACTGTACATCTTCCTCGAGGTGTGTCGCACTCGGGTAGCCCAAAAATGTCCCTTATGATCTCGCCGAGTTGGCTCACTAACGAGCCTGAGCTCTATAAAAGACCCATAAGAAGTAAAGATTTTGGAGCGATTGAGAGAGACCAAGATGAGAGAATTGCTTGAATTTTGGAGTTTCTGAATTTAATACCCAATTGTAAAAACCTTACACCAATCGCAACCCAAGCACCCAACCCATCTGCAGAACTTAACCAACAATAGCGCTTGCTCGCACTCTGTCACTACTGATCAGTTTCTCATCGCTGATTCAATTCGCGTGCTCGTCGGTAGTTCCATATACGTTCAGTCCGCACCTTGCCTGTTCATTCCGTGGCAGTAGTTCAAACCTGTGTCCTCGTCGGTAAGTTCCGTGGCTGCAGTTTAGACCGCTATCGACATCCTTGCTCGCGGTTCCACCGCTGATCTCGCCGTCGCCGTATCAATTCATCTTGTCGCCACCGTCTCGCTACCTTAACCGCTAGACAACACAATTTCACATCGAGCGAGTACTCAAAAGAGAATCCACTGGCGGACTCCCTTGCCCGAAACCCCCTGACGCCTACAACCGTCGATCACTCCTTATTCATTTCACGGTCTTCGACTGGTGCTCTCGCTTCCTCCCAGTCATCGATTCGACTAATGGAAGAAAAGTAATACAATACAGCTCCTCGGGTCTGGTCACAGTTGGTGGGCAGACACTTTATGTTTTGGTTTTGATTGAGGAAAGTGAGAAAAAGAGATTGGAGAGAGAATTTGAGGAGAGATGGGAGAAATAATTACGTGGGTATTTTAGATATTTTAGTTAATTTATTTACATATCTTTGAGGGGGTAGAATGGGAATTTAAAAATAAAAAATGAATGACATCATCATTTTTGGTTATTAATAGTATTTTCCTTTAATGGAGAGGAGGTCATTGTTACAAGTATACAAAGGGAAGGTCATTGTTATATGTATACAAAGAGGTTATTGTTATTTGGCAAATAAGAGGGTAGGTCAATGTAAATTAACGAAACTTCAGGAGAGATCAGTGTAATTACCTCTTTGATTTTTTATAAGCTTCTCACAACATACCATGCATTAAATGTTTACAATATAAACATTGCATGCATTTTACAAATCGGTAATGCCCGTGTAATTAGAGAATAAAGTTAGTGATAATTGCATTATACAAATTCCAAAAGGTCTCATACTTCAATTATTTGTAATTAAATAAATTAGCATAATTATCATTCAAAAATCTAGTGAGAAATTTTCTAAAAAATTTTGAAGAAAAATATTACTTTTCGGGAATGGAGCTCAAAACTTGCCAAAAAAATGCTACTTGACGGTGGTGTTTTTCTTTCATTTGGTATTCAATTCTTGGTACTACTTTGATTTGGTATTTAGTTATAGATACTACAAGCAGCTTTGAATTCGGAATCAAATGAAATTTAATTCAAACCTCTTCTCTTTTTTAGTCCGATGCTCATACTTTCTTTCAATAAAATAGCATTTATGAAAAAAGTTTTTTTTTAAAGATAGTTATATTGTTTCCTTTATTATTATTATTTATCCTGATAATAGTTAATAATTAATTAGGGGAGGAAGAATCCCTTTTATATTCATTCTCGCCGTACCTATTTTGTTTCCTTTATTTGTTGGCTTGTAATGAGAGCAAAGAGCGTAGCATCGTGGACACACGCGCTTGAAGAGAGCGTGTGTGTCACTATGCAATTTCTCATCTCTAACAGGCTCTCTCCACTTCACTGCCACAAACACTTTTCTCTCTTTCTCTATAAATGGTTGGGCGTTAAACGACCAAGAATATGGCTGTTTCTGTAAATTCAGTCGTCGGCTTCACTTCCACGGTATGTCTACATCTCCTCCTATCTCTTTTGTTCACAATTTCACATAAATTTCATTTTGTGGTATTTGTATTAATTCCTGTTTGGGTTTGTTTCTTTTGTTCCATCGGATTGTAATAACTAGTCTCTTCTGCTTAATTCTGAATCAGTGTGGAAAATGGATCCTCAGATAAATCGCATTCATGTCATTTTTTAAAGCAAATGTTACAAATCCATAAAGTTATGTGTAATTAATTGAACCCCAATATTGTTGGATAAGGTTTTGATGAAGAGTTCTAACTTCTATGACCAACTCATCGCTCTTACAACCTAAGGGAACATGGTCTCTTTAGTTCTTGTTTTGTGAGATTTAGTATGATGTTGGTCCATTCTCTTCCCAAACTGTTATTTAGTTTTTAAAAAAAATATATATATACATATATATATATTTAATTTTGTGATAGGTAATACTTGAATTGAAAAGGGGTGGCTTGTTTTTTTTGGTTTTCTAGAATGCCTTTTTTGAACTAATAAATAGATGTTTCAATTTAACTCTGCCCAGCTTACCCGATTGGCGTGCTTGGTGGGTGATTGTGTGTGTGCATGCATGAGGATTAATCTGGACTGGAAATGGAAAGGGAACTCCCTGCCTTAACCACACACACACACACACACAAAAGGCTTTTAAATTTGTAAGAAGGGTGTTTTATAATGTTTTGTGTAGTTCATGTAATCTAGAGTGTTTGACTCCTATGGTAAATTTGATAATATTAAGGGAGAAAAATAAGACTACCAAGTGAAGTTCAAATTTTTTACAAGTTGCTTGCCACTGCCGCATTTGGCTTAATTCAGATGTCCTGCAGACCACTTAACCTTACAAGCATCAGTTGTCGAACTGTTTGTAATGAGAGTATGATCTAATTAGAACTGGAAGTTCATCTTATATATACTTGGACATCCATGCAATATGAGCTTACATTTGACACCAGTCTTTCGCCACTGGGCAACCATTTTGAAAAGATACTAGACGGAACCATTGCTAAAAAGATAAAAAGTAAAAATAATAACACTAATTTTTTAAAACAAAAATAATCCAAAAAGGTCACATTGAATTATTGGATCTTTGTTCATTTCCATATCTAATGATGAAGGTACAAAAGGTTAAGCTTCTTCTTGTGGAAATGTATTGCTGAAATTAAAATTTGCTTCTATTTTAGTTATAACTTTAGCCAGAGGAGGAAAAGGAATTCATGCCGGTGGGTTATTTGTTGGAAATTTATTGAGACAAAGTCTACGATTTTCTGCTTGTGTTTGAATTAGCTGGATGGAAATTTATTCAGTCTATGATATGCTGCTAGTGTTTGAACTAGCTGGTCTTCTCTGTCTATTTCTTCATCATTAACATTTGCATCTCTTTTATTTAGCATTGTTGCCACAATGCTTGGATAATTGGTTGGAGATTTAATAAAATTAACTTTAAGGTTTGCTGCTGGTGCAAAACACAGTCTGCTATTTGTCAATTACTTCTTTCTTAACACTCTCATCTCTTCATCACTTCAGATTATTGAGAATAGTTGAAAATCTGTTTTTGCTCCATTCTTGTACTGAACCACTGGGCATAAAGATACTCGGGTTATTTCTTGTAGATTATATCTCCTTAATGATTTTCTGATTGTGTTGTTCTTAGTGTTTTGGAGCGTAAGACTGGACCGACTGGTGAACCTCTCAAAAATTTCATGCCTTTCTTGTCTACCATATCTACTACTGCTACCACTTTTATGTCAGTTCCAGGGTCATGCGTCTTGGTTAGGGCTTATAAAGCGCACATATCCTTCGTGTACTATTTGTTTCTGTGTGAGGAGAACTCCTAACATAGTGAAGAACACGTAATTAAAGGCTGAATATGTGATGCTTATTGAACGTTTTAGTTCTAAGAAATTTTTTCTGACAATGAAAAAGATGATCAAGGTCCAAAAAAGAACTTCACCTTTTTCTTTTGTACTTCAAAAAAAGAACTGATGAATCTCAACACCATGCATTTACTAAACAAGAGGGAAACTCAGTTATGTGATTTCATAATTTTATAAATGGACTGAGAAAATAAATGCCTGTTATTCTGTTTATCATTTACCAAGTGTGTCTCTTCCAAAAGCTGCAGGCCAAGTACCAGCATGTAGCAAGAGCTGGCGTTGGGGCTTCTGTACTGAAGGTCACCCATTTCACATCTTCATCGCAGGTTGTTGGGTCAAGAAGACTTGGAAAGGGCAAAAACCGGGGATTATGTCTTCTAGTTGCAGATGATGATCGTGTTGCCACAGACAATAGTGACAAAGATTCTACAAGTACTGAAAGATCATTTGTTGATGATCGCTCCTCGGCAGTGAATCTTGCATCCTTGGATTCTCAAACAAGAAACAGCGAAATTCAAACCAGTGCTGAAGTGGAGTCAGGGCCTCAGACGCCGACGGTGTCTAGTGGGTCAACTTTTTCCTCAGAACTGTTGAAACTGGACACTCCTTCTGCCAACATAAAATCTATCCCGAAAAGATCATCGCTAACAGCAAGAGAGAAACTGAGAGCTGCCCGCGTTCTCAGTCGTTACGCAGAACCAAAGGCATCTAAAAAACCACAACTTGGCAGCAAAGTATTGGAAGCTCTGAAAGAAAGTGATCTAGGGAAAAAGAGATCTGGCCTTCCAGAGGCCCCTACAAACTTGTTTGATGACAGCAAGAGAGGAATGCCAAAGCAGGGTCTGACTTTTGACTTTCCGGGGGGTGCTGATGTGTTACTCATCATCTTTTCATTTGTTTTTATCAGCACAGTCATGTTTGGGACAACTTATATTGTGTGGAAAGTTGGCGCCATCCATTTTAATGAGTACTAAGTTGAATCCCATATTTTGGGATGAGGTACATACTTGATGAATCTATGGGGAAGACACAAGCCATATTGAGTTCAGGTACTCTCGATGCTCAACTTTTGGCGGGTAGGATTTTACCTTTCTTTTAAGCAAGATGTATACATGATTGTATAAAGATTAGCTTGGCCAACAGTTACCATTCATCATCACTTCTTCTGCTTTTTTTGCCCAGTATCCTTGTATGGATTCATTGAATGAATAACTATGATATATGCTAGTTCCCAAGTTCTTCTTGTGTATTGCTGTTTCTGCTGAGGCACAAATATAGAGAGGTTCACAGGTTACCCCGTACTGGCCTTGGACACGTTAAAGGTAAAAATATTTGTACCATACATGGTTATTTAATAGGCTTGAATGTGAACCCTTGCTGCTAACTGCTTCAAACCTTAACTTATTGAGCAATCCCGATCAATTACTCTTTCATCCAATCTGATATCAATAAGAGATGCATGAGCATATTTAGTTTTTGTCCAATTTATAACATTTGGACTCGAATTGGATCCTCAAAATAAGTTGGTACAACTTTTAAAAGTAAGTCCTAAAATGAATAATTTTCTCAGCATTCTTATTGGTTACAACACTTTTTTAGCCACAATCAAATGCTCCTATTGCTTTCTACTTAAAGGTCGCTTAACAATTTTTGTTTTGCGTTCACATCTCTTCCAAGTTGGAGGTCATTTGTGGGTAGTCTAAATGACCAGAATATTTTAGACTTCTATATATTGTGTGGAATTATCTATAGTTTGTAGTTTTGTACAGTTTAATGTAGAACTCTTTATAGTAATGTAGCATTGTAAGATTTCTTAGACATTCTTTGAAGCATTCTACAATCCAATTCTAAAATAGTCATGACCGTTAGGTTCGTTGACCCTTGTACATATCCTAGCCATTAATGGTAAGCCTTCAGCCATAAATAGGGCGTGAGCTCATTTTCCAACATCAAGCCACCAAGTTGTAAGCATTCTCCAATCTATAGTTTTGTAAAGTATAATGTAGAGTAGCATTGTAAGATGTCTTAGACGTTCTTTGAAGCATTCTACAATCCAATTCTAAAATAATCCTGACCAAGTATCTTTAATACTCCTGAAAGAGGTTTAAACAACTCCCCTACATGTTTCTATTTACAACATATTTTCTTCCAACTTTAGCATAGATTGTTTATTGAACCTATTTACTCTGGTTGTATATGAATTATCTTTCTTACGTTTTTTTAGTTTATATATATATTTTTTCTATTGTGATGTACTCGAACACATTTGTTACATAATGGTTTTTTTGGAGAATATTTTAGACTTCTAAACCAATTGTAAAATATTCTAAAATACTCCTGACCAAGTATATATATTTGGCAAAATTTATTGCAGATTCTAAAATTTAAAAAATTAAATTTATATTTTTATATATAATAAATAAGTATCTTTAATTTTTTAAATATATATATATAATGAAAAACGATAATTATATTAAATTTTAATTAAGAATATATTTTTTTTCTTTTTATAATTATAGACTGGGTTTCATTCCATATATATATATACATATTTCATTTCTATTTTATCAGTAAAAAGAAATAAAGTTTTAAGATATATAAAGTAGTCAACTCAAACAGAGGTAACACAAAGAGATAATACACTGTAAGGGAAAATATATAGAGAATATATATATTTTTTTGAAAAGTGAGAAAAAATCCTTAAATTGGATTAAATATAGTTAATGTACACTAACACCCCTCTATTATGAGATTATTAACATATACACTCTTTGGGCATTTTTGGAGCATTAAAAGGTCAAATATGCATTGTAGGCTTTACAACGTTACTTCATGTTAAAAAGTAATTTGAGGGGTGTTTTTGTTTAATTTTTTTAAAATAAGGAGTTAATAGCACACTTTTTAAAATAAAGGGTGAAAGTGGTATTCGGATTATACTGTTTTCTGCACTTTTACCCATAATTTATATATATAATCCGAATCAGGATACCATCAAGCTAAAAAAACTCATATGCAAGATCAAGATTGATAAGTATATATACACTATATATACACACACTCACACGATATATATATATAGTGTATATATGCAAGATCAAGATTGATCAAGATTGACAAGTATATATACACTATATATATATATCGTGTGAGTGTGTGAGTGTGTATATATATAGTGTATATATACTTATCAATCTTGATCTTGCATATGAGTTTTTTAGCTTGATGGTATCCTGATTCGGATTGGAGCAAAATAGCGCTTGTTTGATTTTGTTAGAAATAAAGGAATGGAAAATTATAATATTGTATTGCATTGTATGTAAACACTATAATAGGGTCCTATATATAAGAGAATATTGTATGGTAAGTGGTGAACGAGTAACTTACAGATGATAATATGGTAGGTGTAATCATACATGGTGATATAGTAGGTGAATAATAGACCTAGATGAGAGGTAAAGGGGTATATAGTAGGTGAGCAACATACCTAGATGACTGGTAAAGGGGTAAACTTGTAATCTAACAGATTTAATTGAGCTAGAGCAGTCTAATGTTCAGCTCTCTTGATTGCATCTCTAAGAGCATTCGCACCAGCCTCTTTAGATTTTGACTCTTCAAAAATGTTACTTCAGCTTTTTCAATAGTTTTCAACAACTTTCGTAATTTTTTTTTTTTTTTTTTTTAAATTTTTTTCCTAACGACAATATTTTTTATCTTATATAATAAATACTCATTTGCTCATTTGAAAATCATCACTGTATTTATATATCTCCATTATAGCAAAATATCATTATCCATCCCCTTCAACTTTGAAATTCGAATGACTTCGTCATCATGAGCTTTTCCTTTGGCAGACTCTAATTCTTCATTGATGACTCTATTGCCACTTTTAAGATGTTATGATATTTCATGTACTAAAATTTTTATTATATAATGATTTTTTAAGATTAAAAATGATAAAATTATGCCTTATTATGACATTTCATGATTTGAAGGAGTTAGGAGTACTTATAGAAGAGAAATGAATTTTATTTTTATTTTTTTGTTGAAAAAGGGTAAAAAAAATAAAAAATAAAAAATAAAAATTTAACATTTTTTTAAAAATAATTATAGTTCTTAAGGCACTGTTACAGTACCTTTACAACCAAATGCATTGTTTGTGGCAGATTTTTAAAATTTTAAACAAAAAGTTTCTTTTTTTAAAAAATAAAATTTTAAGTGGAAAAAAAGGTTTTTTAATTTATTTTTAACCCAAATAAAAAAAAAATTTTGGACAAACAGTGCCTAAATAATATATATTTTATTTTATTTAAAAAATAAAACAAGCTTAAAATAACCCATTTTTGGATTTTTTTTTCAAAAAGCTATTCTGTCCAGGCATTGTTGCTGCCAGATTTTTTTATTTTAAAAAACCAGCCGCTACATCCAAAACGCTGACATTTTGGCAAGAAAAAAAATTCGATGATTACGTTCGGCGCGCTCTTCTGCGAGCCCACTGCGGCCACATTTGGGCTCCCAAATCGCGAAATTTGGGCCACGAGCTGAGCTGCGGATGCTCAAAGTAGACGTTTCTTTGCCGAACTAAATCTGGTTTATCAAGCCGAACTTGTTTATGGAGCAATCAATTTTTGATGTACTTAAGATCTCAATCAAATTAAACATGTAATCCACATGTATTTTTTGAAAGGAGGGAGTTGATTGGGCAAAATCATTTATAGTGTGGGTAAATAACGTATAAAATTCGGAGCAAGATCCTCTCATGTTTTGTTCGCTCCGATTAGTGAAGTATATTCTAATATTTTTGTAAAGTACGTCACTAACTGGAAGGACCAAATTATTATTCCACCGGAGATGATCCAAGGATTACTATTCCACTGGAGATGATCCAAGTGCTACACCTATGGCAGGCTAGTGAGAGTACAAATAGTATTAGGTGGAATTTGTTCAGGAAATCATCAAAGCTTTCAAGAGTGGGGACACAATTCATGCATATCTTGAGATCATATTTGACAGATGCTGAATGTGAGCCTAAGATCATTATTTTTCACCCTCATAAAATGCTGTTTGTTTTAATTTTACTTCTTTTGGTATTTATTGTAATATGATATCATTTGGATAGATCACTATTTGTTTTGTAATATGGTTGCTATATCTTTGCTTTGGGTCCCCATGAGTTCTCCCGCATCATTTCATGAATACGTGTCCAATACATCTAGAATGTATCTATAATTTTAAAATATATTTTTTAATATTCTGAGATACTTTTTAACATGTATATGATAATTTTTAACACATATATTTAACTTTTTCAACAATAATAACAAACTATAATTATAAAAAAAGTTTAAAAATTATTAAGTAATTATTAGGGATGTTTGTTTTATGTGTTGTGAAACAAATCATATGTTATATGGGAAAAGTGCAAGAAACACCCCTAAAGTATACTTTTTATAGCACTTTTACCCCTTATTTAAAAAGGTGGGCAAAAAACACCCCTAAACTATGACATTTGTGCAAATAGGTCCTATTTACAAAAATTGGACTAAAATGCCCTTAGCAACACATTTTATAATATATATATATATATATATATATATATATATATATATATATATTATATTGTGAAATGACTAAAAAGGGCTCTGCCCTTCTTCTTCTTCATCTTAGTGGTCGCCGAGGGAAGGGAAGGCCGGAGAAGATACATATATATATATATATATATATATACACACACACAGACATATATATACACATATACATAGACATAAATATACAGATAGATTTATGTATTTATTGTAAATTTACAAATTATATATATACACATAGCCACTGCCAACCAAACCAAATTCCTCAAACACCAAAATCTAGCCTACAGAGCCAACCACCAAAAACTGCAAGACCCATTCGCAAACCCCACATCACCATAGTCTACCGCCGCCGTTCGCCATACAGGAATCCTGACTCGTCGTTGCTGTCCGCCGGTTAGTCTGTGGTTAGCTTGACGGAGACTAAGAGTAACGAGGACTTCCTCGCCGCGCTGACTCACCAGTTGACTCAAGCCACTCTGCAAGAAACTCAGTAAAACACTCCTCATCCCCAAAATATCGAGGTATGATGCTATAATCTTTGATTTGGCTTGTTTTTTGTCATGAATTTCATGAGAATGTGTTCAGATTCGGTGTTTGTGCTAACTCAGAAGACATGGGTCTTATCCGGATCGCCTCAATCGACTTTTAGTGGAATCGGAAGCTG